TGTGTGTGTGTGTGTGTGTGTGTGTGTGTGTGTGTGTGTGTGTGTGTAGTGTGGTGTGCAATATGTCCATCGTTGTTAAGTAGTTTCTTTATGTTTATTTGTGTCAGTGTGTTGATGTGGTTGTTTTGTGTGCGTTGTGAAAATCAATTTTAAAATACTTACAAGAATAGGCATCCTTATCATTAATGGTCGTTGTTCGCCCAGTACTTGTGTTTGCTGTGAATTGATGCCAGTTCAATATTGAGTTTTCGATTTTGTTTAGATAAATTTTGAAGTGGTTTTTTGTTGTTGTTGTTGTTTTTATAGACATTGATTCGTATGATAATTATTGATATAAATACAAATTAAAACATTTAGATTTGTCGCCAATGTACGACAGTAAATTTATGGCTATTTAATTCGTCGCAACGATTTATGTATAATTGAATAAGTTGCACCACATTTTCGATTTGATGAGATCAATGATCAATGATATGGAATGGATTTTGAAATGATGATTTTTTTGATGAATAAAATACATTGGCAGATAATAAGAAGCAAGCTTCAATATCTACTTGAGATATTAATACAAAATATTACAGTAGAAACTTAGCAAATTCAAAACATTATAAACAGTAAACAAACAAGAGCAACACAAAAAAAAATTAAATTAAATAACCGAACTTTGTACTCTTTCTTAATTGTTTTCATTTTAATGTTTGGCTGTGTATGTGTATGTAATGGGCTGCAATTCCGATTGAAAGAAATCACGTTTTTTATATCGACGTATAAATGCATGTGATTAATGTTTAAATAAAAAAATACAAAAGTACTACAGATCTACAGCACTAAAATTTAATTATTTGATTAGTTACGAGTAGATCGATTATTGAATGGTACCTAATTTTTACACCAATTTTTTTAAAATGTTAAATTCGATAGAGAAAAGAAACATCATCAATTCAGAACTCTAGCCCGTTATCGCTTCAAAACAGTGCGTTTGAAGCACCGATTGAGGCAAACAAAAACACAAAAAAAAAACATAATTATAAATTCAATGCTATTTTGAACAATAAATATATCCATATTCTATAAAACAAAGAATAACGCCAAACGAAAAATGCGAATTTAACTACTTACAATGGACAGCATGTTCGGGCGACACTATAGTTCGTCCTTTCCATTTCCACCGCGTATTTTTCGTTCGATTTAGGAAGTATTTGAGCTCTTCCTCGGGAGTCATGTCCAAACTCATTTCAGCATGTTTGCAATATAGCCTGCGTAAAATGAAAACGGTCAAAACATCAAATTATTTATCGAAAAGAAAGTTAAAAAAAAAACATCTTCGTCTCTTTTCATTTAAGAATGCATAACATACCAGTCAGGATGCACTCTCCATCGGTTTCCCGTAAAAAAGCTAAGAACATCACCCTTTAATTGAATCCGATGAATTTCATCTTCATTTCGAATCTGTATGCGATTCGAACCATACGGTTCAGGGTATGTTACTACTAGAGTGAATGGCGAATTCGGTATCGCCGTCCAGTAATACCATCGCTTTAATCGGGACACACGTTTCTACAATAAAAAGAAACAATCAATCAATGAAATTGGACCAAATCAATTGATGTTTGAATGAAGCTTAATTCTCACCAAATTATCCATGTGATATTTCACCATCAAGTTGATGCTCCCATTCAACTGATTTATAATTTTATCGCGAACCTAAGAAAGTACATTCAACAAAAGTATAGATTATTTTCAAAAAGGCCATTTCTGTACGATTTTTTTGTGTGTGTTTTTGAGATATTCACCTTTAACAATTGATCAGAGAAATCCCGTGGTTCACGATTATCATCCATAAGTTCAACTTCGAGCATATCAATTGTATTGTATGCTGGCTTTAAAATACCTTTAAACTATTAATATAGCGCGATTGAGAAAAAAACACAAAAATATATTTATAAAACGTAGAAATCAAATATAATAAGTAGAGATTTGAAGAGCTCTTACGCTTGGTCTTAAATCTGGATGGGTCAAAACATAGCCATTGTTATTTACTATGAACGCGTAACCATTAACGCCCAACTGAATCAATAAAAATTGAGAACAAATAATTCAAACATTCACAAATGAATAGCTTGTTCATGTGACTGCTCTTACCGTAAAGGGCATCATCAACTTTTTGATATCACGAATCGGGACATCTGTTCCAGCTACACCCAATAAATTTGCGATTGCCGTCTATTCCATAAGTCATGTTCAGCAAAAAAAAACATACAAATTTATACTTGTATTAGAATTCGAAATGAATCGATGGACAGAAAAAAGGATTGTGATTTGTCACATTTTCTTTTTTTCTTTGTGTTATTTAACAAGCCAACATTTATTGGCAATAAATTGAATTGAAACATTCATAACAATGTGTCATATTCACAAAGAATATTAACTTCGTTTTGAATTCGGAAGCCTTCGACCGCAAAAAAGAGCGGCTAAAATATCTTAATAAAAGCACAGATGATAATGTTCAATGTTCATTTGGAGAATGTAAATTGTAAAACCAAAAGAGAAATGAAAAATAATTATTAAAATTGTAATATCTACTATTTGAAGCAGATACACTACCCAAATGAACTGATACATATTTGGACCTGTGCTTTTATCGCATTTTGTTTTTTTTTTTTACATTTTTTGAACAAAAATTCTCGTTTTCATTTTTTAAAGTTAAAGAAAGCACGCCAGAGACGGTGCAGACTCATTGAGAGGCTTCTATTTAACGCACTCAACTCGATTGCACCGATTGGACGTGTTATCGAATAGATCTCAAGAAGAGACACTTCCAAAAATGAGACGGTTTAACAAACAATTTTTCTTTACATAGTTATAGGTTGTTGTAAACTAGCCAAAAGAGGAGCAAATTGAAGTAATACTCTAGAAAAGAAAATAATCCGGAGTCCAAAGTATATTATGATTGGACAAAAATGTTTAAACAACAAATGATAATTTTCATCTAAAATTCAATGTTGATGACACTTTGCTAAACGAACACAATTTTGGGTTAATTGATTTAAATCTAAAAAAATACAAATAGTTTCTTTATCGAATGTCTAAATATGTACCGCTGAGAATGAAATTGGTGAAAGAGATCTTATTTTCTACTCTCTCCTATTTCTACGTTGCAAGAGCAGGATCTAAGAATTCTTGAGTCACTTTCAATCCCAGCTGCACAAGTATAAAAGATCAAAATCTTAAGCAAAACCAAATATATTGACCTTGACTATAGCTTATATAAGCCTAAGCACTATTTTACAGTACAGTTTGTATTGTATCTAAATTTATTTTATATAAAATGACAAATATTAGCATCTTCTAGCGGATAATATGTGGTATAGTAATCGACTTTTTCTGGTATGATAATCGTTCAGCTACAATCCATCATCGTTATTAATGGTATTTCGTTTATTAAATTTTAAATGTGAAATACACCTACCTACAAATCTGTAATAAATGAAAAGATTTTTGCTCTCGACTAACGTCGATTAAATAATACTTAATGTCTATCTATCTGCCAAAAAAACATTTTAACCAACGCACTTTGTACAGATTTTGGAGAACTAATGGAAAGGAGCTTTAATTTAACCGAATAAACTCAAATACATATTGTACATAGTTTTTGTTAAACAAAAATGTTCTAAGATAAATTCGATAGCTTCATTTATGCAAAATGCATAAATACGTGCCTATTTGATAATATTTGCTTTATCTGCTGCTAATTTTTCTCCAAAATCAAAATACCAGAAATTTTTTCTAAATAATTTATCGTTTTTTTTTATAGAATCGATAAAATAAATGTTATGCCTAGCCTACTGATCTCCTTCCATGATAAGAAAATACCTCACGTGTAATTGATATCCAATGAGCCTCATTTATAAGAATTTCTTCGGTGATATTCTGTTTTGTAGTATAATTGACATACATATAGATTTATTTGGATATTTATATATCAAATATGCTCAATATTCATATATGTGTGTATGTGTTTTTTTTTAAATTCAGTATTTTTTCTCGTCATTATATAATCGAATGTTAAATGGTCAATAGAAAATAGTAAGTATATTTAAAATATTAAAACTTCTGAAAATTGAATGTTTCAACTTACCGCTCTTTCTCGCCGATCATACACTGGCATTGAAACAGTAGTCAGCATATTATATTCAAAATTATTATCCTAAAAAGATAAACAAACATTTGGCAAATGTAGGTTGGATAAAAGACGAACGATTTTTCGATGTTCATGAATTCTTTTGTTTTAAGAAGTAAAATATATACCTCGTCACTTGGCTCAAGGCGTAGCCTATCGCGTTCATCTCTTCTCTCAAATGTTCTATTTTCGCCTGATTGAAATTTTAAAAATAGATCCTTTTGCGTTTGTCGTTGCATAATTTCCCAATTATAGTCGGTCATTTTTGGATCCTAAAAACAAAGCACCATCAATTTGTGGTTTTTTCATTTTGAAATCGTCAAAAGAAATTGAAACGATTTTTTTTTATTGATTTACTCACAATAATATCAGCATACACATGTGACCAAATGACGGGATGTTCGTGTCGGCCAAGTACGAGCGGTCGTGCCATTACTGGTATATAACGTAAGACTTGTTCGCGCACTTCGGATGGAACGCTTAAATGCACATAATAACCTTGATTGATGCATGCCATCTCTTTAATCAATTGAAAATCGGGCACCTCGCTACCAATTAAATACGTAAACAATCGAACATGTCGATATGTTTCATTTGGCCAATTGTACAATTTAAATGTTTCGTTAAAATCGTTCGGTACACCGTCCGATATTAACATAATGGCCTGATTACAACCGGCACCCTCATCATTTTCTCGAAAAGCTTTTAATGTTTCAAAGGCATTTTCTAACGCAATTTTATAATTTGCAATCTTTTCAGTTTCAATGTTTTCCATGCCGGCATTTAAACTTCGTATATTATCTAATGTTGCCGGCACTAATGTATCATTAAAGCATTTTACAACCGACTCAGGTCGCTCCGAAAATTTTAATATATTGACAAAATCATTTGTGGTTAGGGTTTCCAATATATTTGAAACTACATGTTTGGCGATATCTTTACGCTGACCACGCATTGAACCTGTTCAGACACATTTCCAAAAATGAATTTTATATGCATACGGATTTGATGTACAAACAAATTCAATTACTAATGAAAGCAAACATTTACCTGATATATCGACTAGAATAACCATATCTTTTGGACTGGCCGCCGCTTCTATATACCACGGGCGCAAACGGCAGTCATATAAATCTACTGGTTCCAATTTCCATTGAGACGCTACACACAGTGACACCAAATACAAAAGATCGAAATATCAAAATTGGATTTGTCGTATTCGCTTTCAATCATACCTGGAAATTGTCGCATAAATCCATTCGATCCACCAAAAAATTGGAATGATAATGTTGGATCCTTTTGATAATTATCTTTGAATATACTATCTAATTGTTGGGACCATTGAATGTCCTTTATAACATCACAAGCTGCAATTGAGAAGAAGCATACGAATGATCACGAATGCACGTGTAAAACACTGTGAAACTTACCTCTTCCGTACACATTCGTAGGTACATGTACGGAGCTTAACGAAAGATTGACGGGAGTATTATAAAAATTTCGATTCGGTGATAGCACGATACGTGCTATGGTTACGTTAGGTGGCTCAAGGGATCTGTCGTCGAACTTTTTTGGTGCGGCGGTTGTTGTTGTATCACCCGGTGCCAGCATTTCCTTTGCATCGTAATAGAAAAACTTTTCGTCACACCCTTCTTCGTCATGTGATTGAGCGGCATTTTCAGCAGCATCCACAATACGCTGGACCGCGCTGGTCTTCGACTTAATCATGGACTCTAGCTCAGTGGCCATCGTTTCCAGAATCTTTTTTCCATCTCTTGGCACAACTTGAGCATTTTTGAAGCTCTACAATTATATTGATATCAATTTAATAATTTTTTTCTTTCGGTTGGTTAAATTGCATTGATTTATATCGCAGAAAAATATTCCAAACTTACTTCTTGTACTTCTTTTTTTCGTGTTATAAAATTGCCCAAATGCCATAATTCAACACCCAATTTATCAGCCCATGCTTTAACACTGAGTAAAGTAGACAAACGAAAGAATGAAAAAAATATGAAAATTGTATGCAAATCAAAATCTCGTCATCACACCACAAGAATTTGTCTCACATTGACAATCACAATACGCAATGTTAATGAACTAAATAATGAAACTTACACATTGTGTTTGATGGGTTTTGGTTCACTGGTCTTTGGTGGCTCCGTTTCCCATGTCAATCCAACCAAAATGGATAATATGATCAAAACAAAAATAATGAATCGCCATAAATGCATGGCGTTGAACTGATCTCTGGTTAACATATTGCCATAGAAAAAACGTAACATAAACACACTTGCAATGAAAGTGGAAAAATAAAATATAAATCGAACTCAAACTTAATTTATTTGTTTCGATTTCAAAAAGTCGCCATTGTGACCCAATAAATTACGGTTAGCTTATTCCAATGCATTTAATTTCATGTGCGTTGCGTTCACCACTTTTTTTTCTCTCTCTTCTTGATTTTTTTCTCTCTTAATTCGTTCTATCGTACTTTCTACACACCAAGATTTCCCTTTCGTATTCTTTTTTATTCCCTTCTTCTTTTCGCTTCTCAATTTTCTCTTGGAGGTTTTTACACGAAAAAAAAACCTTTTTTACTAACACAACACCTCAAACATTTTTATAAATTTTAATCTCGCCAACGTTTTCGATTGAATATTTTTCACAGTAATTTTTCTGATTGTGTTTATATTATATTTGGCCAATTATGAGCTTTTGCTGCTAAGCTAGTGTTTTGCGAAATATGTAAAAAAAAGAAGTTTTTTTTTCGCTTCGTCAAATTTGTTCCGTACTTTTTGCTGTGCCAACAATATGGCGGAATGCCTGAAAACTTACATTTATAAGTATTCTACGTAAATCAAGCACACACACAATCACACATATTTTATCGCTCCCTTTAGAAATTTCCACCAATTTTCCAGCTTTCACAATGAAATATGTGTGTGTGCGCGCGAACATGATACGATTATGCTTGTGTTTGTTTGTTCATATGACAAAACTGTGTGTGCCCTAAGCGCAAGCTTTTCTTTTTATATCATGCCACTTTTTCCCTGTAAACGATAAGCTCTCTCGGGGAAAGTAACCATTAATGTGAAGCAAACGACATTAGTTGCGCAGTATGATAGCTTGGTCGAATAGAAGATAATAATAGACATTGTTCGTCATACGTATAATTTTTGTTTTGATATTGGGCTCATTTAATGATATCGTTGAAAAATGTAAATAGAATCATCGTCCGATGACAGTTCATGAAAGTTTATGCGCAATATCTAAATGTCGAATGAAGTTCGAGCTTTCAATTCACATTAAACTCTTCAATTGAAACCAAGAAAACTGTTACATATTTCATTCGTCTTACCATAGCCAAAACAAATAAAATTGAACGTAAATATGAAAAATAAAACCCGGATGCATTGGAAAAGGTCAAAAATCTACATTAGGAGATTGCAATAGAAAAAAAATCATCATCTCAAGTTATCACATTAAATAAAAGGATTTCCAATTAGAGAAAAAAAACACCATAGAGCAACTTTCCAGTTTGAAAGAAGAATGTGAAACGGGTCTTGCCCGATGCACAAATGGAAAAATAGGATGTGAAAAGTTTTTTATCACACTCAAACGTTCATCGCACGCATACATAAATGTACAAATGATTTCAGGGGTTGTTATTTTGGGAAGATTACATATATGCATACGGAAGAGACTCATATATATATACACACACAGGCACGGTACACAATACATGTGCACATATATACGCGTTTAGGTCTGTGGGAAGAACACTTTTATTGGAATAAATGACAGTGAATTTTCAAGAGTTCCTTTTGACTAAGCGCAAAAATAAATAGCCCAAAGAAGAGTATTATTTTGTGTGCTCTAATCACTGTTCAAATCCATCTCAATACACAGATTATCCAATCAAATTTAAACCAAAGAAAAAATAAAGTAAAAAAAACAATTGTGTATAAATTGGCCATAAATCAAATCGATTCAAATGAAATTATTTTGTGTGTAAAACGGTGTAAATGCCATTTGTGCGAAAAAAATCGATTATGCTGTTGTTTGGAGTAATTGTCATTGGTATATAGTACATCGTACAATAAATAGAGTAGTAGTATAGTACGGCAATTCAACATTTGTGATTAGATGATGAAAACCTTTTCAGTCTGAAATCAAAACAGATCGAAAAACCCAAATTGCATTTCAATCAATTTTTTAATTAAATCCATAAATATACAATCTTCATATAGAGTAGTTATAACGTAAACGTAATATATCGTTATTATACCGAAATACTATATGCATATAACGTCCGAATATAGCCGTGTGATTTAAAGAGAATTATCTCGACTTGCCAATTTGTTCTAAAAGTGTAATAGTTCTCATTTGATTCGAATCGATTGAGTGTCCAAATAACATTTTTCGGACCCAATTTAATTGTCTTGATCGTGCTATTAATAATTGGGTGTTGAATTGTAATGGAAATGTGATAAATCAATATTGGAAATTTGCAATGCATATGGGTGATAATGTATAGCAAAATACATCTATCACATATAGATACACACACAGAGAGACATACACACACACTCACTCACACCCGAAACAAATAATTGTGAAATGAACACAAAACATGCATAACACCGGTAAACGATATTCCCCCTTAAATTCGCATGCACCATTCTTGTCTTCTTCTCTCTTTTTTTCTAGCTCGTCCATTGCTATTTTGTCGAATTATATCACATTGAAAATCGAATTCAATAACAATAAAGAAACAAACATCTAATCGAAGTCAACATTGGCAAATTATGTATTATCCCTTTTTCATTGCAGATCCTTACACACATTTGGACATAATCAACAGAAATTAACAACTAGACCCGTTTATTGCACTGCTAGTCAATCCATCAAACAAACAATGCAAAAATGTGAGAATGAAATCTTAAACATTTGATAGTAATCCATAATTGAAACCAAAAATAAAACGCAAAAAAAAAAAATCAATCGAAACAAAATTCTTTAAAGTGCTCTATATATAATTAATTTAAATCAAGTAAAACCAAGTGATTTTCACTCTAGTCGAATTGGTCAAAATGCAAACGTTACGGAAGAAAACTAGCCCTTGCAAGTGTAAGTGATGATAACAACAACAACCTTTAAAAAAGAGCAATTTCTGTTTTTTTTTTTTTTTGTCATTTCACGTTTCATTTTCGATCGCACATAGCAACCCTTCATTCAATCAATTTTTGCAATCACAGAAAAAAAATTATCAATGAAAAATATTAGTTTGTTCATCGGGTAACCCATTCGTTCCGGTTCGATAGCCATTTGATCGTACACTATGATTTTGTTTTTTTCTCTTCTTCTATTCTGTTTTTTATATATGTGTTTGCATGACAGTTTCTATTGTCAATTATTGGGCTCGCACCTACTTGTCATTCAATGTATATATTCTATTCACTTCATATTTTGTTGTTTTGTAGTTTTAGATAATAGTTTGTGTATTTGTTTCTAAGTATACATTTTTTTAAATATAAAAAAAGGACGAAATATGACTTTGTGATTCGTAAAAGTTAAATTGAACAAATAGTAAATGTTGCAATGAAATGGCAGGCACAACAGATGCAAATAAAAGTAAAGAAACGTTTCAGTTTTTTTAAATTTTCGTTGTTTAATAGCAATTCACATTGTAAATCGTCAAAGATATTATTAAGTGCGCAAATTCATGATACGAATGAGTTTTCCTTTTTTACTTCGCAAACTAAATTGTTGTTGTTTTTGAACTTTTTTCAACGAATTTTGACTTTTTTTTTTAGATCGAAATGATCCAGGTCGATTTTTTGGTGATGGTGTCATTTTCAAGGCAAAGTTAATCGGAATTCTTGAAGTGGGAGAGGCTCGTGGTGATCGGATGTGCCAAGAAGCATTGCAGGCAAGTATTTTAACTTCTTTTTTTGTAATAGCGAATATGTTTTCGATAATTTATTGTATTTTTTTCATTTTTTTTTTGTTGGAATTCATTGGGTATAGGATCTAAAAACAGCAATACGGGCAGCAGGAGAACATAAACAAAGAATCACAATAAATGTCACCATTGATGGATTACGATTGCGGGACGAACGTACTGGTGACTCTTTGTACCATCATCCAGTACATAAAATATCATTTATTGCACAAGATATGACCGATTCCCGGGCATTTGGCTATATATTTGGTTCGCCCGAAAGTGGCCATCGATTTTTTGGCATTAAAACAGATAAAGCAGCTAGTCAAGTGAGTGCGAATATTCATCTTTTACATTCACTCATTCGTTATGGGTTCAAGTTCCAAGTTCTTTTAAAAAAAAAAAAAGCTGAAGTTAAATTTAGAAATATTAAACGCTATTTAAATGACAATTTTTTGTTTGTTTGTTTGTTTGTTTGATTTTCGGTATCTTGTTCAGGTGGTTCTTGCCATGCGAGACTTATTTCAAGTAGTATTTGAACTAAAGAAAAAAGAAATCGAATTGGCGCGCCAACATATACAAAGCAAAACGATCCACGATCATCAGCCAGTCACATTAAATATCAAAAATACATTAGATACATCGCACTCAACTTACACTAAAGATCAAAGTGAAGCAAGTGCTACAACCAAATATGCACATAAAGAGGTAAAACAAAAAAAATTTTATTTCAAAATTTTATTCAACTCATATATATGTGTGTAAAACAGATGTCTCCGGAATCGGTGGCCGATTTAGTGGATTTGGAACAAGAGCTAAGCTCAATTCAACGTGGCATCACTCAAATGGAACGAATTACACCAATTGAACCGCCTACAAAGAACATAACGGAAGATGATCCATTCGGCGATTCATTTACACAATATCCGGTAGATAATTGTTAATTATTAATTGCTTTTATGTAATAAACTAAAATAATTCTACCTGCCATTGTAGACCTACAATTTGTTGCCGCCGCCCGAATCAACGAAAACACGCCATTCCAAGCAATTGAAACCTCCCGATGATAATTACACATCGACGGCAATTATTAGTAGTTCTGTGGATAGTCTAAATAAAAATAAAGCCAAAGCGTCAACGGCCGATGATAACAATTGGTTAAATTCAAATGATGTTATGAATTTAGGCAAAACAAATAACCAAACCATTGAAAATGAACATAGAAACGGACTAAAATTAAGCAGTAGCAATTCAATAACAACTGCTGCCGATATCATTGCAACTGATGATAATCTAATGCAACTAACAGCGTTAACCGCATCATCTGCATCACATTATAGTGATGCATTCTCGGATTTAGATCCACTTGGAACGGGTAAAATACGGCCATACATCGATAAAAAGTATTTTTTCCAAGATTTAAAGAATCCACCGAAAAAAGTACTAAAAGATTTATCGGACCGTGATGGATTTTCCACCAGTTTTCCATCGGAACTAAAAAGTATAACCGATTTTTCGGTATTTCAAGAAAAATCATCGATTGACGATCCGCTTCAAAAAAATATTCAAGATGCACGCAAAAAAAGCGAACAAAGTGATGAATTTGGAGCACAATTTTCATCGAGTACACAAATATTTTCACCAAATAATAATGGCACCCATGGTACACCGCCAAATTTATCGCGATCCGATAATGGTATTTACTTTTTATCATTTCGATTTTGTTTAGGTCTTTTTTTTTTTTGGAATATAATTACAATCAACAATTATTTCATGCGTTTATTGAAACAGTTCAATCGTGTTCAAATCTTGCCAACTCGTTTCCCGGACCATTCGACAACAACTCAAACAATAACAAAGTGGAAGATTCAGCCGATCCATTTTCACCGCGCATGCGAAATTTCGATCCATTTGAAGATGAATTCTCGAAACCATCAAGCACATTCGATTTCAGCTTTACCAAAGGTACATATTATTCTCAAGTCTAATTGTCGGAGTATTCTCAATGCGAAATTGTTTATTAAATTCACAGCCTTTTCAGAAGCCAGTAAACAAACAAAACATCAAATTTTCAATGGACCTCTGCAGGTAAGCATTTCAAACACAAATTCCAAATTTATGTTGTAATTTTTTTTGCATAAATAACGTTTTATATATATTTTAACAATTTAATTCAATTATTGTTGTGCATTTAAAATGCATGCAAAGACACGATATATGTATTGTATACAGTAGGTTTTCATTTTAATAATAAGAGTTTTTTTTTTCAAATATAGATAAATTGCTTTCAGAGAATGTTTTTCTTGTGATAAATAAATTCATTGGTCCACTGTAAATCCAATGTGAAATGATACAATTAATTAAAATCGTTCGCTGCATCATTTTTTCTCTTTCAATGTTTCATGTTAAATTTACAGTGAACTAAAAATAAAAACAATTTAACCAAAATGTGACAGTGATTGTTCCATGAAATTGTCAATTTTCGTGCGATAAATAACACATTTATATCTAAATGTTTTGTGGCCTGTTCTGTAAATTTAATATGAAAACTTATGAAATATGATGTAATTGTTTTAATTTCATCACAATTGTGACATTAAAATTGTATTGTTCGACATTAAATTTTTAGCGAACCAATGGATTTTACAGAAAATTCTCTCTAAGCGTAAGTGATCGCTCGTTTTCATGAATGAAAAATTAAAATTATTTAATTGGAAATAAATATTTGAATTTCAATAGGATGTACGTCGATTACAAGAGAGTGATTCATACAGTGAGAGTGAAGTAGTTCCAGAGCCACCACCACGCTGTGAAACGAATTTGCATTCGGATCCACCACCGTTGCCGCCGAAAAAACAATTTTCGGATATTGTTATCAGGCCACGCGTTACATCGCCTCTTGCGGCGACCCGTGATTCATCTCGATATGGTTAGTATCTCTTTTTTGCAGAGATATTTCAAAACAAAAAAGAATATATATCATAAAAATGACAAAAAATAAAATCATAAATATTTGTTTTTCTTTTCAGGCGTTCCAAAATCAAATCATGTGAACCGTGATCAACAGTCAAGTGCAGAAAATGTACCATCTCTGCCGTTGCCATCAAGACGAATCGGTCGAGCTGATCCGAGTGCATCGTACCCTGGACCAAGTCGACCAGATAAAGATGTTCCCATCTTACTCCCTCCACCAAAAACCAAAGGTAGTATTAAAAATCGAAGTCGACGATCCGAAGAGAGTGCATCGAATCAATCATCGGCGATCAAAAGTGATACGGATAATACGAATATAAATAATACAAACGCTACTACAACACCTATAGTAAAATCCATCCCAGATATAACGCTAAGTCAATTATTAACGCTTGGCATTGATGATCTTGCCTCAAAATTAAACGTTCCAGCTAGCAAATTGAATACTATGACAATCGTTGAGCTTACTAAATACTTGTCTGATTACATTGAAAAATCATCGCAAAAGAATTTCAACGTATCCGATCCACCATCATCACAATCACCCAGTGTGCCTGTATCAACGACACCACCACCACCACCACCATCCGCATCATCATCGTCAGCAATAGCAACAAAAACTCCACCATCACAATTGTCAGAAATCGGATCCGTTTCACAACCGGCGCCGCCACTTGAAAAAGCATCCGAATCATCGGCCGTCTTTAAAGTCAGCTTTGATGATTCGAACGATGCCACATTCATTGCGAAATTTGACGATAATTTCGGCATTGATAATGATTTTATTCCCAATTTCGATCATTTTAATCAACCGCATAATAAATCAAGCATTGATAAATACGCTGTATTCCGTGAAATTATTGACCAAGAATTACAAGCGGAAACAACAAAATCAAACGATGCCAAGCCAAGCGATGACAGCAATGAAATCAGCTCAGACCCAGATAGTCCAATAAATGAAGTTGAAAATCTACCATTATCATCGAAAATCGATACAAAAATCACCGAAGCCATTTCACAAGCAAAAGATCGTTATGCCGCTTTGCGTGACATCATTTTAGTGGAAGATTTATTCGAAAAACCATCATCGGGCGAAACACCAATTGACGAACGATTGTCTAGCGAAAATGTTGATAATTCATTGAACGACGAAGAAATTGTCAAATCCGAATTTGATGTTGCCGAACATAGTTCGCCAGATGCAAATATTTCGATCAATTTAGAAGATCAAGAAGATTTAGACCCGTTGAAAACGCTCACCACGCCAACAATTAGCCAACCAATTTTAAGCAGCAAAGACGATTTGGAAATTGATGAATACATGAATCGTGCCATTTCAAATTTATCACTCGATAGTCGTGATCATTTATCACCGTTGTCAAAATCGACCGGTATCAAATCACAAAATGCATCTACATCACCGTTATCGTTGCAATATAAAAAATCATCGCCGATCAAAGGCATCGATGAAGAACCAAATGAAGATAATACCATACGAAAAACAACACTGAATGATATGTCAACATCACCGATTCCACTACAAAGTTTGCCAATTGTTAAAACAGCCACAACCGAATCATTTACAATTTCAAAATCACCGCTTTCATTGCTTAATGATGATTCACAACCAAATCAAGCAGCATCGATCACAGCGCCAAGCCCAGTCTCGAAGAATAAATTGGCCAAAGAAATCGCTAAAAATGGTAAATATTCATATTTGAATCACACATTTTGAGAGAAATGTTTATCTATCGCTTGTTTTATTATCAGGAAACCAAGCGCCAGTCCAAGAAGAATCCTGGGCCATATTTGAAACAGAAAAAGTCGCACAGCCCGAAATAGGCAGCACAAAATCACCAAGAGGTAATACAACATTTTTTTTATTATTTTGATTTTAATGTAGCAAGCAAAATTTAATTTCAACGCATGACATTTGAACTAATAACAGAAGAAACCGAGAAAATGGTTGCCGAATCACCGTGCTCATCCGATGATAAGGCTGATTGGAAAACGGAAAATAAAAAGTGGCGAGGACATACATCGTCGTCTTCCCGTGATTTGAGTCCATGGGATGATGATGAATATAGATCCCATCGTAGTTTGTCCTCGCATCCAGATCGACATGGTTTTTATATGCGACATGCACGCCGAATGAACTCTTGTGATGATGAATACGAATACGAGGACGAAAAGTCAAGACGTCGAGATAGGCGTAATAATGGTTAGTTAGTTTTTTCTCACACACTACTTCTCGGCGCACACATTTTTAGCAATATTTATTATAGCAACGGTTGAACAAATTTAACACACAAAAACAAATTTATCTTGATTAATTTAGGCTCTCAAAATTGGTATCATCCAAATAATCATCGATCATGGTCGCCGGCGGAAGATGAAAATTGTGATCATGGACGGTCATTTGATCGGTGTTCATATGAAAGAAGCACATACGGTCCGCCATATGAGAAACGAGACTTGAAATCAATTGCATATTCATCGGATCGTCATCTTTACAAAGGATACGATAAGCGAAAATATATGCGTGACTACGGTCGACCATACGATATGGACGATTACAGCGGCTATGATCAGCAAATGAAGCACGGACGAAAGGGGTACGCTGACGAAGTGTATGAAAATTCGTCGAATTTCAGTATGCGGACCAAAGGGCCGAAAGAATATTTTTACGAACGTGAAAAGCACAGTTTTGATCGTGATAGCACCGAATCATTCGAAAGCAATGGACGAAGACGAAAATCGTTTGGCAGTGGTGGTGATATGTGTGGTGGTTTTAACTATAGAGAACGATATTCATCGGCCGATCGAAAACGTTCGTTGAGAAAATCGAATAAAAATCAACGGTCCAATGAAGAGGAATACGAACAAGATTCCGATGGTGATGCTGCCGTTCATCGTTTGCCACCGACTGAAACACGAAGTCTACAACGTCGACCAAGAAAAAGTAGCGGATCATCGCCATGGGATGGAGAAGGTAATTAAACGTTGCTTTTGATTTTTCCATATATCTTTTTTATCGTACAATTTAATACGTAAATGTAGATGTCACTCCAACCACAGGTAACCGATCATGGAAACGACCAGCAAGTGCATCCGAATCGGAAAGAAAGTTGGCCGAAAGTAATCGACGATTAAATCCAGCCATTTCTGGATCGGATGGAGAAAAAGACCGAAGGTAAATCAAAGTACACGAATTCAATTTGTGATTCATTCGATAATCGAAAATGACATTTATTTCGGACAGATTTTTCCGTAAACCACGAAGTCGTGATCGTGAAGCCGATATAAGAAGTAATTATGCGACGATGCGCTATCCAAGCGCATCACGGGGCGATGATTATGAATACGATGGTGCCGATTATGATGAGGAAGAAGAAGAGCAACAACAATTTCATGATGTGCGACGTAAAGATCGTCATGCAACCGATTATCGTCGACGATTTGAACACAATCGCAACATTGAGAGTATGCATCGCATTAGCCGAAGCAATCGTGATGTATGCTTTCAAAGTGAAAAGGATCGTTACGATAAATTTGATTCATTTGATCAAGGTTCAAAAGGTGGTGGTAGTCGTTCATCATCGCGACGTGAACGTGATTTTGGCTATGAAGATACACCGCATGCCAGTGGTGGTACGACCAAATTTGATTTTGAATCGGCCGACAATGGGTTTGAAAGTGATTTTAATACGGCACCCGAAAAGAATTTACGTTTTTCAACTGATTTTTCCATTGACAAAACATCCACATCGGCCACGCGATTGAATCAAAACACACATTCGATTCCAATCCAATCGATGGCTAGCAATTCCGATATAAATTCAACGCCGCCACAGCAAAAATTACGTTTCGATGATAAGATAACAGTGTCAAAATTCGATTTGTTTGAAGATGATGATTTCTCGAAGGCCGAATTTTCCTTTCAAAATGAAGATCAATGGATTGAAGAGTTACCGAAAAAGAATAACTTAAAAAATGTGACATCAATGAAGCAGCGACATGATAACATCAAAAAATCCGAATCGGTTAACATATTTGCACGTAACAATGATGATCCATTTGAAGACGATGACTTTTTCAATAAAAAATCAACCGAACAAAATAACAATAATTTCGCAAAATTCGAAGATAATCTCTGATCTATTTCGTCATACAAGCACCCCAATAATTTGGATCGTTTAAATGGTAAAATCAAGCGTTCGACAAACAATCTACTACAAAACATGATAACGATCAAATTTTCAATTAAAAACTTGATAACCTATAACGTGAAATATTGACAAATGCTTTAAACGATCAATCACATTTTGAGCAGCCTGCATACACGAGTCATATGCACTTTCTATCGGAATGAAAATTCCTTAAAAAAAACTATAGTAAATTGGTGGGAAAAAAAGAAAAGAAAAATTGTAACAAAAAAAATCTTAAAGTCAAAACTCATAATAATATTTATAAACAAAATAGTGGAACTAACAAAAATCGAGTGAAAAAAAACATATTTATGATCATTATTAGACAGCTGTAAAAGATCAATTTGTTTTCGGTTGAAAATTTATCAAAATAATTGCAATATATACAATTTTAGAAAATTAATTTTTTGGGCGCAGTATTCAGTAGTTGAGTCAAAAAGTCTGTGTATTTATCGTTAGATATTCAATGAGATTTTCCTATATGATGGCACAAAACGCTATGATACTCAAAAATAGAACACAAAGAAACAAAAAAATACTATGCATTTTTATCATGTGAATATAAACAAAAAAATTGATTTTTTTTACTCATTTAATGATTTGTACAATGTTCGATTTTTTCTTTGTTATAATGATTTTTGATGTGGTTTTTTTTAATTCTTGTCTATTACATTTTTTTTGCAGAATACAATTGAACAAAAAATATTGTTTTTATTAATGTCGTAATTTCTTGCCGGAAATTTATTATTTTGTTTTTGGGGGTGATTATCCAGTGAACAGAATGAATATCTAGCGCTTGAATTGACATACAACTTTTTTCGTCAAAAATTTATAACGATGAATCGAACAAAATGAATTGTATTTCACCATTCTGCTTAGTTAATATAAATTAATTAACAGATAATAAAATTAAACGAACAATTTTCCCAAAATAAATGTAAATAATCTGAACCCAGTCAAAAATAATAAAATATATTAACAAAAATGTATATGCCTTTCTTTTCCTGATTTATTTTTAGCAACCCTACTTCCCTAAATTCTATCTATAATTTATTTTTGATCTGAAAGCACAGCCTTGTCCCCTAGTATTATGAGAAATAATAAGAACGTTATTTGAAATAAACTCAACGTCAAATCGACCAGCTCGTAGCAATGCCTTATCTAGATTGTTGCGTCGATTTGTAGCACCCAAAACGATAATACTATCTATCCATTTCCGAAAACAATTGATTGATTGTTTGATTGGTAAACGGATGCAAACCGGATGTTCTCTCTTCACCAATCGAATCAATTTCATCGATAAAAATGGTGCATGGCATTTGGCCGCTCTGAACAAATTACGAACACATCTAGCACTATCTTCGATCCACATTCTATGAACTCGGAACCAGACGCATGAAAGAATGAAACTCCAGCTTCACCGGCAACAGCACGAGCTAACAATGTTTTGCCAGTTCCTTTTTCAGAACAAAAGGAAGAGATAATAACTTGTGTAGTCTTCAAAGCTTTGTCATTGTCTCTCGTTTCGGTAATTTAGCGTAATAAAACTCCTTTCTGTAATTTAGCGCCGGTAAGGTGTGAAAATTTGGACGATCTTTTCAAAAATTCCACAATATCATGTAATTCTTGTTTGACCTCATCACAGCCCATGACATTATTAAATCGACATTTGATTGACTTCGTATCGACTTTGAATTGTGATCTATTGAATCGATCGAATAGCTCCGAATATGCAAAGAATAACACAGCAATTAACGCGAACAGGATGGATATCATATAGTAGGCAATCTATGCGACAAACAAAATCAATTGCAATCAGTTCCGATGAATTTTCATAACATATTTTATTCATTTTCGAAAAGTTCAAATTGTTATACCCCAACGACTTGTGAAAAAGATACACCTGACTCATACACCTGTTGTTCGGTCTCACTAGGTTGTTCAGTCTTATCACAATTCTTGCAAACGCAATAACATCGTGTAACATTCACATTCTTTGTATCGTCTTCGATTTTTTAGTCAGACGGCCTTCCACTGAATCGATCAAAAGAAATCGTGATTTAAATTACACAATTATTAGAACATTCGATTTTTGTTTTTAAAAAAAATACTTCTTTGTAATTGTACCTAAATTTGTCCGCGAATAAAAAGTATAAAATAAGTCCCAACACGATCGTAAATAAGATAATCTATGCAACAAACAACGTCAGTTTCGATGAATTTTCATTCGTTTTTAAAAAGTCTGAATTGTTTTACTTTAACGAGTTTTGATGCAAATACCAAGGAGGGAACCACGGATTCCAATATGTGCTAATTGGATAACCTCAAGGCAAATACCCATTTATCTACAGCGTATGCCACTAAGTAATCCTTCCAAATCCCATTTTAATACGTTGCATTTGCATTCTACTGGTGAATATCGGTTGGCTAAGCTGATGAATTCAATTTGAAGGTAGTAAAAGTTATTGCTCATTTAAATTCTTACTTTGACTTTATTTTATTTTTATTTATTTATTTTTTTTTTTTTTTTTTTTTTTTATTTACTTTTTTTTTTTGCTTAAATTACAGACAGTAAGAAAAATAATTTTTTTTTTTAACGGTTAGAAAACAAAATACTTGGGTTTTTTTTTTTTTTGGATGATATTCTTTTTCCTTTTTCCATTAGGGTATTCCAAATAGCATGTCATCTCAGTATTTCACATGGTATTGGATTTTTAAATTTTATATAAATGATTGCGTGTATATTTACTTAGATATTAGGTCCACGTAAAATACCGAACAAATCTACATGACATCTTTCACATACCCTATTATTTGAATGAATTTTATTTTTCCTCGAATTTTTTACTTACGACATGAGAATAATGAACGAACGGAAAAATATCCTACTCATTTGTGTTGTTAACACATAATGGCAAATGTTGTAATGTAGCCCACACATTACGCATATGAAAAATCTATATAAACAGCGTTTCAAGTGCTTTCTAATTTAAATAATATAAATTGAGTCGAGATTTTTTTTGTAAAAATAGTGATAAAGACATGACCTAGTGTTCCACAGCTTCTATTCCTCTTCAACACTTCTTTTTCTTCTAAATTAAGGAGACAAATGAATAAATCAATTTCTTGTTTTTTGTTCTTGTCGTTTTTTTTTATCTTTTATATTTTTATGTTTTGTTTAAAATTATTTTTTTTTCGCAATTTTCCGTCAACTAGTTCACTATTTTTTAAAACACACTCTACTTGAATTTGAAGTAAAATTGTATATTCATTTTCTTTCGTCTGCATATGTTAATTGCAATTCATTATTAATATTCGTTTATTTTTTTAAAAAAATCTCCTTTTCTTTCTTTGTTGCTGCACTTCGGAAAGAAAAAACTTCCCACCTTTACGATATATTTTGCTTAATTGCAAAGTACTTTCAGTTTTATTTTTAGATTCGAAAGCGATTCACGTATTTATGATATATGTAAAAGAACAAAGGGGCTTTTCATTTTTTTTGTGGTTGTATTCAGCTACTTAAGGAATTGAAAACAATTGTTTTTGATGTATATGAGTTTTTTTGTTTTGTTTTGTTTTCGGTGTTTTTGTAATTATTGTAATAGTACTAAAATATATGTTTATGCTATGAACATGATAGAATAACTCATTGGTCATCATCTGATGTTCCTGCTTTCACAGTGGATGCATAACTGGGCCCAATATTACTTCCACCAGAAGTGGTCGATGGGGAATTATTTAAGGGGCTTCCATTTGGTTGCACATCTATTGTTTAAACAAATGTTTAACAAATTCTTCATATTAGCAAATTCGAGTCACAGAGATATCTCTCTATTATGGAAACATATGAATGTTTTTTTTTTTTTTTTTTTTGAAAATGATGGAAAATATGAATGTGGTGAAAGATAAAACTCTCCTCGGTTGGAAGGAGATTTTTAATTGGTGAAAGTTTTCACTGTAGAGAGGTTTCCTTGTATATTAATGGCATGTCGACGACAAACAAATGAAGTAAAATAGGATCGTTGTATAGTGTAATCAGCATGGCGTAAAAAAAAGACAAACAAAGAGCATTCCGAGATATTTAACAGTAAAAAGTTTGGACTGAACACGGTGTGCTCCGGCAAAATATCTTATTGCTAAATATAATACGAAAAGCTCGAATTGTATTTTTCATCGCAATACTGTATGCTTTGCGATGATTTCACAGTCAAATAGCTTGGCGTCGATTTGTTGGGCAGAGTTTCACTTTGAATGGACGTCGATAATACTCACCTGCAATTTTAATCGGTTGAGAATCTGAAATATTGCGCAAATTATGTTTAACAATTAATTTGCAATCGCCACCTTCAACCTCAGACACATCATATACATAAAGAAAACCATTTTGTGTTGCAACCAGAAGCCTATGGAAATAAAAATGTATTGTTAAAAAAAAATAGATCAAACCATAGATATCAGAGTCGATTGGAAAAGAATGAATTTTACATACTTTAGGGAACGATGAATTGTTGTAATGACACTAATTGGACTGTAACCGGTGATCGGTAAAACGGCTGTGGCAAAGTCACGACCTTGGGTGAATACATCGGTGACTTGTGTTGGAAAGTAGCTGGAAACCGTTTTACTTAAGTACCTAAATGAACAACAATTAAAACAGACAGTTTTTAAATACCATAATGATTTCAAATCGAAAACGACATTTAAAAATAAAAAAAAATTACATACCCCATCCAATCTTCGTTTTTGTGATTGTTTTCTTTTGCCTCTGGTGAGACCCGTTCCAATTTAAAAACGTGTACCGTTTCTGTATTTGAACTACAACATAAATATTTTGAACAGGTGCTAAATGCTAATGATGATATTGCCACGCAACGTTTGACACCACGTCGAAATTCAAATAGTTTGGAGCCATCTTCAACGGAAAATACTCGAATCACAGTGCCTTTTTCACTAGCCGTTGCGATTTCGGTGCCAGCCGAACTGAATGTTATGGCCGCCAACGGATTGTCATGAGCTGGAATCATAATTTTGGCCTGCAATGTAACTGCATCAAATATTTGCACTTGACCAACCGTTGGACTACCCGGATATGCCAAATAACAATGATCCGAATCGGATGCAAGTGCACACAATCCACGACGATTTGGCGGCGTATCACGTATTGTATGCACAACTTTCATATCACGAATATTATGTATGTATAAACTTTCTTCCAAACACACCACCAAACGGGCCCGATTCAATTTCACACCAAGAATTGTATTCGCATACGAATAGTTGCATATTTCCGTTCCTTTCTTGAAATGACATACCTGTAAATCAAAAGTTGCGCGCACAAATTGTTACCAAATCAGTCATCAGTCGGTAAATTTTGAATAAAAAAAATGTGAAATATTAAACACAGAAGTCTGGTGGATTTACCTTCAATTTTCTGGGCGCATTCAAAGAGACAACAGCCACTAATGAACTACTGAATAAACGTTCAACTATTGTTATCTCTTCACCGGAACTTTGGTAGATCTCTTCCAGCGTCGAATCGATCGAGTTAAGGGAAAATAGTGAGAATCCATTTTTACAGCCCACAGCCAACGATCTGCATTTGAATAAATAAAGAATAAAAATTTTCGCTTTAAAAACGTGAACAAAAATTAAAAAAAATACTTTACATAAAAAGAAGACATTTTTCAGAAATTTAAATAGATAATTTCGTCACATTGTATTTGTACAACGTGAAAATGACCATCAAAATAATTAATAACAATAATAATTCATTACGCATTTCTTATCAACGGCACATGCATAAATGCAAAAAAATTGACAACAATCGTCGAAATCGACCCTCTCAATCAGTTTTGTAATGTATGAATAAATAATTGTTCATTGTTTCAAGTGACACCAAAATGACAAAAGGAACAACAACGAAAAAAGAAAAACAAAAGCACAGAACCAAATAAGTTTCACAATCACAAGATTAAAACGCTCGAAATAAAATCAAGTATTGCAAGTGAGCAAATACGATTTGTAATTACAATTATAAATTATGAATAAAAATGAAATTCACAAACATATTTATATTTACATATTGTGTATTTCCGAAACACAAAAAAACTGCGCGTAATTTCAAGTAATTTTGCTGACATTGTTTTGTCACATTTGCCATATAGTTTTACACATTGATTTGCCATATTTTCTAAATGCATTTTAGTCGAATAAATTTACAGAAAACGAAATATATAAAGCAGCAACTTACGAGCAATCTTGGTTGAAATTTACAAAAAATCCCATCGAATCGCTATCATTTTGTTGAGATCCACCACTCAAACTCATCTTCAATTCACCCAAATGTCTGACAGTTGAAATGAGATGATTCTTTGTATTGTAGCACGACTATTTTCTTCTCTTTTTTGACTCGAATGTTGACAAAGTTTTCAACACAAACACAGTTGTTTTTACACGTTCCGTACTAATACCCAACTTCTCTCTTCGCTGTTCACCATCAACTCTGTGTGTTGGAAGTGTGTATGTGAGTATGCGTGTATATGAATATATGGATATATGGTTGGTTAGTTAGATGATTTGTTTATGTATGCAACTAATGACGTTGTTTGTATTGCTCTAGCGTACAGCACACATGAACAATGTTTCTTCTCGAACTCGCAGTTGTTGTTGTTGTTTTTTTTTTTGATATTTTTGAATTTACGAAACGTGTGTAGCTCTCGGTTTAACCAGCACAACAATAACAACAACAACAACGAAAATTGTATCGAAGACTATACCATGGGGCTTATATGTAGATGATCTCGTTGTATCATAAAACACAAACGCACACGGCCAATGATTCTATATTTATATGTATATCACAATAATTGTCAAAACGAAATCGAAACGAACGAGTGAAAATGCTTTAACAATGAAACGTCCTCCAACAACAGCAACAACAACAACAAAAACCAAAACTATTTTATTTTCGTTTGACTAAATAATAAATACACGTTCGAACAAATCCAGTATTTAATGGCTTGTATCGGACTAATGATGCTATTGCAATTGCGAACACTTTTTCTTTTTAAAAATATCGAGATAAAAAAAAAACTGTGAACCTAATAGCAGAAGCAAAAGCAGAGAGAAAAAAAAGTCCACACTCGGAGCGAAGCTAATTTAATTCAAAATTCCGTTTAGTCACAGATACGAATCGAAAATGTCTTTTCAAAATTTAATTTTTCATCAACAGTCGAATTATTTTTCTGTAAAAAAGATTTCAAAGTTTTTTTTTATTTAGATATCACAATTTGAATTTTTTTTCTGCACTACACTATTTCGCCATATTTTTTTGCTTGTTTATTTGAAATGTGTTGTTTTGACCACTGCTGTTGCGTTATTTTTTTTGTTCTTCGTCTTATTTGCTTTGTGTTTTCGTTGTGTTTGCACGTATTTGTAATACGTATGTATGAATGTTTTGGAAGGAGAGAATGACAGCTGATTTTATGTTTTTGTTTTTTTTTTTTCGTTTTTTTTTAGTACCAAATCAACACAAAATCAACAGTTTAGAGAAATATACGGGGAATTTTGAAATTATTCTTTCGATTGATTTATTTTCACTTGGCATTGACAATGTTGACACACGCACAAAATATTAATCAGGTTTAAATAATTGAAATAATGTACAGTGTACACAGCTTCACTGTTCGAATTTAAATGACAAATTTTTTTGCCAGAGAACACATATACATACGCACAGCTAGCACGCATCAAGTCATTTAACAACGGACTAATTATTATTATTATTTGCAAAAGTATTGCCGTTTTGCACATACACACACATACTCACACTCATACATACATAAAAATGACGACAGTTGACAGCACGACCATCATTGAGGTTATGTGTGTTTGATGATTTAATTCAAACGTGATCGTTGCATTGAAAATAGTGGTATTAAGTTCAAATTCAATTTAAATTGTCGAACATTTCTAACGGAAAATAAAACGTAATGGCTGAACCACAAATGGCCAAGGATGCTGTTTTGGCAAAAAGTGAAAAATTGCCAGATGTAACACCGGTCGTTAAGGGTTACGAATGGAACAATGGAATCGATTATGATCAATTGCTCAGCTCATATATTCATTCTGGATTTCAAGCGACCAATTTGGGAAAAGCCATCAATGAAATCAATCGAATGGTGAAGCATAAACATTTATTTGCCATTGAAAAATGTCAATAATATGTTTTATTTTCAGTTAGATTGTCGAGAAATTCCAATGCGCGATGAAGATATTGATTTTTATGAAGACGATGAATTCATTCGACGGAAAAGCAATTGTACAATATTTTTAGGTTTTACATCGAACATCGTATCATCTGGTTTACGTGAAACGATTCGATTTCTAGTTGAACACAAAATGGTATGCATTTCATTCTTTTTGCCAAATTGCCATAATATCAAAGAAATATTTTATGGAAAATATAGATTGATTGCATTGTTACCACTGCCGGTGGCGTTGAAGAAGATTTGATTAAATGTTTGGCACCAACATTTATCGGTTCATTCGATTTGGATGGGAAAACACTTCGAGAGAAGGGCATCAATCGAATTGGAAATTTACTAGTTCCGAATGATAATTATTGTAAATTCGAAAATTGGGTTCTACCCATACTTGATGAAATGCTCAATGAACAAAAGACAACGAATATTTTATGGACACCATCGAAAATCATTGAGAGATTGGGACAACGGATAAACGACGAATCATCGATATATTATTGGGCAGCAAAAAATAAAATACCAGTATTTAGTCCGGCATTGACCGATGGAAGTCTTGGTGATATGATGTACTTTCATTCACATCGTAATCCTGGATTGGTCGTTGACATTTTATCCGATTTGAAGAGACTCAACACAATGGCAGTGAAAGCAATACATTCAGGTGTTATCATTGTTGGCGGCGGTTTGATTAAGCATCACATTTGCAATGCAAACCTAATGGTAAGCATTAAAAAACCCTATTCAATTGTACTTATTTTGTATTTACAACTGCCTTAATTACCTTTCGTTTCTCGAAGAGACAATTCAAGAGTACTTAAACGAATCGGGCGTCTTTTTTGAGATTTCCTGACATAAATATTCCAATTGACTTAAATTAAATCGTTCGTATTTTCTCTTGCAGAGAAATGGTGCTGACTTTTCCGTTTTTCTGAACACGGCCTCTGAGTTTGATGGCAGCGACAGTGGTGCCAGACCTGATGAAGCCGTCTCTTGGGGTAAAATCAAAAAAGATGCAACACCAGTGAAAATCTATGCAGAAGCAACATTAATATTACCATTGTTAGTTGGCCAAACATTTGCTAAGCGACATTTTTTGAATAAAGACAAACAAAATCCGTAATATTGATGAAACATACATTTTATTCAATTTAATTTGAAATACTCACTTAATTCAAGTTTGAGACTATGCCTTTAATATTTTAGTTTTTATTTTTCTAATGAGAAGTGATACTTTGCTACTACCATGTCTTTTTTTAATCAAATATTTGCGAAGTGATTAGA